GTGTGTTTGTGTGTGTGTGTGTGTGTGTGTGTGTGTGTGTCTGTGTCTGTGTGTGTGTGTGTGTGTGTGTGTGTGTGTGTGTGTGTGTGTGTGTGTGTGTGTGTCTGTGTGTGTCTGTGTGTGTGTCTGTGTGTGTGTGTGTCTCTGTGTCTCTGTGTGTGTGTGTGTGTGACCAAACATGGATAAGCAGACTACCCCCAAAGCTACTGGGAAGGCTGGTGGGATCGCTGGAGCACTGGGATGCCCCAGTGCACGTCTGTGTGTGCTGGTGGCTGTGATGAGGCCGTGGCTTGGGGAACTTGTATGTCCAGGTGTCGTCAGTGGGGATCCTGGGAATGTGAGGTCTGCTGGGCAGTGGCGTGTCCGGGGGCGTCTGCTGCAGCTCTGGGTCCCTGCACAGTCCCACCCACAGCCCTCACCAGAGCGAGGGCAGCACGATGGGATGGGGTTGCTTGTGGCACGTGTGACCAGCTGTGTGCACACGTGGAGACATCTTCCGCAGCTGTGTTGGCACGTATGCCTGTATGGAATCACAGCCTTGCTGCTGACCATGCCCAGGGCCATGGTCCTGCTGTAGCTTCTCATGGAGAGGACTTGGCAGGATGCAGCCACGGATGTGGGTGCCGGAGCCTGGCCAAGCCCAAGTGAGCTCTCCGTGGTGCAGGTCCAGTACCCCCCCCAATCCCTGTCAGTCCCATGGGAACATGGTGCCAGCCTGGCATGAGCCCACGGCAGCAGGGATGGGGCTGTGTCTGTACAAATGTGTGGTTTATTAAGGCATTTTTTGAGACGTTGGCACTTGGGTTCAGGCTGCACCCGGTGGCCCCTGTGTGGCCACGGGCAGCGCTGGTACATGCAGCTCCACGAGACACAATACAAAAAGTACAAACGAGTAAAAACAGGAATTGTAGTACAATGTGTAAAAATAAATAACTGGGGGCTCAGCGACCCCAGCCCAAAGCAGGGTGCATGTGTCTGACCCTTCCTGTGGTGTGCAGTGTGGCCCATATGCGTGCCCATCCCAGATGTGCAGTGGAGCTGGCCTGTGTGGGCAGCCCGGGCGGCACAGGGCCAGGGGGCATGTGGCAACCCAGCATGGGACTGGCGGGCACTGGGTAGCCCTAGCGTGCTCCCACAGAGCTGGGGGACACAGGGCACCCCCAGAGTGGCCCCTCGGGGCCTGGGGAGAAAAAGGTGTCCCCACAGTGCTTGTAAGCAGGACAGAGAGGGGATGGAGGTGCCCACCCCAAGAGCCTCTGTGGGTTGTCCCTGTGTCAAGGCAGAACTGTCTCCCCCTCCCAGGGCACCTCAGGCCCCTGTGGGTGCCTGGCAGAGTGGGCATGGCCCTGTGCCCCCTTGATGCCTCTGTCACTGCTGCAGATCCCTGTCCCCTGTCAGTGCCCTGTGCCCAGACCAGCACCTGGGACCCACTGGCATGTGCCAGGACCCCTTGGCACAAGGGGGTGAGGGGCTGACAGATGGAGCTGCAGCCACAGATGGTTCTTCATGGGAAACGGGGGGAATGGGCAGAAGTGATGCATTTATCTGCTGTGACAACACCTTTGGGGCTGGGGCTGGGGAAAGTGTGATGGGAAGGAGCTTTCCCCCAGCTCTGCTCAGGCATGGGGTGTCCTCCTGACCTCCAAACACACTCATGACCAGACTGGGCATTCAGGGCTGCTGTGGGGCACCCCATGCTGTTCCAGCCCTTGCTCTGCACCCATGACCACGAGGGAATCACAGCCTCTGGGAGCACCAGGACTACAGTAGCAGAACCCGAGGCCACACTCCCAGGATCTGCGATGCATGGCTGCTCCCTGTGAGCAGCCACGGGCTCAGGAAGAGCTCAGGTGGGGGCTAAGTGTGGTGCGAGTGTGCCTGTGTGACTGGCTGTGCACAGTGCTGGAGGAGATGGGGACCGGCCCCATTGCAGAGGCTCCATCCGGGCTAACAACATGCATAATGGGGGTGCAGAGCAGCCCCACACAGGGGGCTGGGGCCAGGGGCACGGGATTCTGGCACCTTGACCATCTTCTGGAGGTGGTCCAGAAGGTTCTGGGGAGCAGTCATGTGCCAGGGCCCCAGGGACAGCCAGACGCCCAGTGTCCCCATTGTGGTAGCAAGAGAAAATGCTGGGCAATGTGGCTTTCTGGGGTACCACCTCCCACCTGTGCCCTTGCAGCTGCAGGCTGCCTGCTGGGCCTGAGGTGGGTGTGGGTCACAGCAGCCATCACCACTCTTGCTGAGGCTGGGCTGTCCCTGCCAGCTGTCACACAGCTCTGCCAACCCCACTGTGCCGCCCGTGCCTGGGCACTGTCCCTGCCTGGGACCCCTGCCCAGAGAGGTATCTGGTCCCAGGAACAAGGTTCCCATGCTGAGCATGGCAGGCACTTTCCTCCCAGGACCACAGGAACCATCCTGAAGCTCTGGGCAGGAGATTCCCTGGATATGTCACCTGCAGCAGAGGGTAGTGAAAGGGCTGGAATGACCTCAAAGGCTCTCCTGTCCCCCCCCAGGCACGGACAGGCCGCAAGATGTGGGCATTGCTGCCTCCTGCTGCAGCCAGCTCGGTGAGTGTCCCCTCCCAGGGGACAGGTTCATTCCCCACATCTGTGCCCTGGGGCATCGCACCCTGCCCTGGGACATCACCCCCAGCCATGGGGCATTGTCCCCCTGCCCTAGGAGCTCCTGGGGTCTCTAGGGAAGGCTCAGGGCCCTCCTGCACCCCGGCTGCTGCATGGGACCTGGAGCTGGGTAGGGCAGGGTCTGGGCCTGCAGCCCCTGGCCCAACACCCCTCAGCTCCCAGCCACTCCCAGAGCACCAAGTACCGTGAAGCACCATCCTGCCCAGTGCCAATCTGAGCAACCGCAACAGCACAGGGACCATCACCCCAGGGTGCCAGCACTGGGGTCAGCAGTCCATAGGGCACCAGCCAGCACAGGGTCTGACAGACTGTGGGGAGGGACAGGAGCCACAGACCCCAAGGGCACCCACAGTCCCTGGGGGCCCAGGCCAGGCACAGTGCTGGGAGCAGGAGAAGCATCCATTTTAGCAGCCCTGGGCTGGGCCCTGCTCCGGCCCCATGGCTGTGGGCTGGGGCAGAGGAGTCCAGGGGCCCAGCTCTAAATCCTGAGCTCGGCCTCCTCAGGGGGCTCCAGTGAGTGCTCAGCACTGATGGTGGAGGTGGATGGCCCCTGTGAGATGCCGAAAGGCGAGACCACAGGGGAGCGGGCGGCCAGCGGGGACAGTGATGGGGAGAAGCTGGGTGACATGGCGGAGGACGAAATGGAACCCTCGTGGCTGATGGGCGAGCGGCGCAGGGAGGAGGGGTGCGGGAAGGTCCTGCCTGGTGGTGGCTTGGGGGGCACAGACTTGGCACCTGGATGGGCCACTGAGGTGATGAGGGGCGGGGGGTCAATGCGGGGCTTGGGCTCTGCCTTGGGCTTGGCTGGGAAGGGCTTGCGCAGGGAGCTCTCATCCTTGAGGCGGGCAATCTCCGTGAAGACACTGGCCAGTGGCTGGAACTGGGGACACCAGTTCAGCAGGTAATCCCAGTTGTAGCTGCCGCGGAGCTCCTCATCGCTGGCCACAATGGCGGTGAGCGAGCCCTCCACAGAGGGCTTGCCGTCCTCTGGGAAGGCGTAGTCCTGGGGCTGAGAGGAGACACTCAGGCCGCAGCGGACGCCCAGGAAGGCGCTGCCCCCCCCGTCCTCACGGTACAGCTGCAGGGATGGCCCCGGCAGCAGCAGCCCAGAGCCCTTCTTGCTCTTGAACCACTGGGCGCTCTCCAATGCAGCTGGCTCACAGGAGATGTCAGAGAGCTGGTCAGCATCCTGCTGGATGCCAGAGTCAGGGCCACGGGCAGCGATGTGCTCCTGCATGGAGGCTGTGATGCTGGCCACGCGTGGGTACTCATTGATCATCCGTATCTCATCATCCTCAGCAGCTTCAGCAGAGCCACGGCCGCTGGAATGCGAGGGGTCCAGTGAGCCGCCCCGAGTGTAGGGCCCTGCCGGCTCGGTCCCATACCCTGGCAGTGCCTGGTGGTAGATGTGCTCAGCCCCGGGCAGCGCTGGCTCCTCACGGCCCAGCTTCTGCAAGGACCCACTCTGTGCACGGGCCAGTGCCCCCTCCCCCTCTGCCTTCTTGTGACCCTGACGCTGCCGGGAACGTACCAGTGCCAGCACGATGGCCACGGCAGCCAGCACCACCACGACGCCCAGCGAGGCGGCCACAGCCACCAGCAGTAGGTTGAGGTCAGGTGCCAGGCCAAAGGAGGTGTGCGTGACGTCAATGGTGACCTGTGCAGAGGCCACACGGGAAGCAGGCAGGGGGCTGCGTGCCTGCACCTCCAGGCTCATCTCCCGTGGCTCCCTCTTGGCACGCCCAGCCCCAGCTTGGGGCTGGCTGTCCACACGCAGGTAGATGGAGCCTGTGGTCTGGTTAATGGCAAAGTATGGTGAGGGCTTTGCCAGGGTGTACAATACGACACCGTCTGCCCCCTCATCCTCGTCCGTGGCCAGCACCCGCCCAATGGTCTGCCCTTTGCGTGCACCCTCAGGCACCTCGAAGTTGAAGGAGGGGCTTAGGAAGATGGGATCATACTCATCTTCCCCTGTCACCAGCACCCGCACAGTCACAGTGGCCGAGGCATTGCCAGCATCAGTGGCCTGAACCAGGAGCTGGAAGGCTTTGGCTCGCTCATAGTCAAAGGTGAGGCGGGAGCGCAGCTCCCCAGAGCTCCCATTGACAGCAAAGGCGTCCCGGCCGTCCCCCGTGGTGGAGTCCCCCACTGCCTGCTCCAGCACCACGTACCGCAGCTCCCCAAAGGCGCCGGTGTCGGCATCGACAGCACGCAGCGTGGTGACCAGCGTGCCGGGGGGCAAGTTCTCCCGGATGCTGGCACTCAGCACCTCCACTGGGAAGTACGGCTTATTGTCGTTGATGTCCTTCACCTCAATGGCCACAGGGACCAGGGCAAAGTGCCCACCTGGTGTGTCCGTGGCCCGCACCACCAGCGTGTGCAGTGCCTGGGCCTCCCGATCCAGTGGCTGCACCAGGCTCAGAGCCCCTGTGCTCTCATGAAGCTGGAACAGCCCCTGCTGGTCACCTGAGCTGATGGTGTAGTGAACGTGGCCCCGTGGCCCTGAGTCGGCATCGTGGGCTGCCACGCGCAGCAGCTCAGTGCCAGGCAGCGTGGCCTCGCTCACCGCTGCACGATACTCGGCCCGGGTGAACACGGGCGGGTTGTCATTAACGTCCTGCACACTGATGAGCACGGGCACGGTGGCACTGCGCTGTGGCAGGCCCCGGTCTGAGGCTGCCACGGTCAAGTTGTACACCGGGATGGCCTCAAAGTCCAGGGACTCCACAAGCACCAGGGCTCCCTGCGTGCGGAGCTGTCCCCTGGCCCAGGCCACCCGGCTCTCCACCTGGAAGGCGTTGCCGCTGTTCCCACTGACGATGGTGTAGTCAAAGCCAGCATTCTCCCGGGAGAGGTCAGCGTCACCCGCCTCCAGTGTTAGCACAGTGGTGCCAGGGCGCAGGTCCTCGGGAACACTGGCATTGTAGCATGGCTCCTGGAAGCGGGGGCTGTGATCGTTAACATCCAGAACCTGGAGTTGCACTGTGGCCCAGGATGAGAGGCTGGGCGAGCCATGGTCACGGGCCTCCACCACCAGATCCAGGGTGGGCTGGCTGGCATTGAACTCCACCTGCCGGGTGGTGAAGATGGTCCCTGTGGAGCACAAAGCCAGGGTCAGCATGGGAACCAGTGGGAGCTGGGAAGGGTATCAGCTGGAGGAGCATTCAGTGGTCACCCCGCTGTGTCTGCCTCACCAGCCACACCAGAAAGTGACCTTGTGAGGGTTTGAGTAGTGCCAGCACGGGGGAACTCCCCTCCACAGGCACCCTTAGACTGACCCGTGAGAGAGGCACACACAGCACCAAGCCCACGCACCATTGCTGGGGTCGATGGCAACATCGGGGCTGGGCACAGCCAGGTGGAAGGTGATGTCCCCATTGCTCCCTGAGTCGGGGTCAGTTGCACTCACAGTGAGGATGACACTGCCAGCAGGTGTGTGCTCTGGCAGCAGCACCTGGAAGAGGAAACCCCAGTCAACATCTGGTTCCCCCCTGCCCAGAGCCCTCAGCATTGCTGGGAGGTGGGGTCTGGGGCTGGTCAGGCAGCCAGAGCCAAGGTCGTCCAATCTCTCATTGGCCAGGGAAACCACAGGCAAGGGGCCTGTGCTCCTAGACCCTTCAAGTATTCCTGGGGCTCACCAGCCCCTTGCCTGGGCTCCAGCGCTGCTGCACGCACTGCCCAAGCCAGCCTTCAACAGGGACCTGCTCAGGTCTTGCCACAAACATTTGTCTGGGCTGTGGCCCATTTCCCAACCCCTCTGGCCTCCCCACTGTGCTCATCCATTTCTGCTAGACCCTCTGCATCCAGCTGTGCCCCTTGCAGGGGCTGGTCCCAGGGTCACCTCCCTGGTTTCAACTCCTATGCCAGTGACAGCTTGAGGGATGCCAGGATGTAGATGTGGGTAGGAAAGCGGGACCAGAAGGGGCTCAGACCCATCCTCTGCTTTGTAAGGGCAGGTGGGCCAGATGGGAGCTGCACAGGGTTTGTGTGGGATGGCTCCTGCTGGCTGGCACACGTGGTGCATGTACCTGATAGAAAACCTGGGTAAAGGTGGGCACATTGTCGTTCACATCCTCCACAAGGACGGTGAGGTTGGCCTCAGTCTCATGGCGTGTGTCAGAGGCACGCAGGGTGAGGGTGTAGCGGCTGCGCTGTTCGTGGTCCAGTGGCCCTGTCAGGGCAATGTGGCCACCATAGCGCAGCACCCCGAAGGTGTCTGCCGCGTCTCCCTCCAGCAGCAGCGTGTAGGAGAGCGAAGGGCCCGAGTCCACATCGTTCCCAGTCAGCTGGGCTATCTGGGTGCCCAGCAGTGTGTCTGTGGGGAGCAGACATGTGAGTGAGCAGACCCATCCCTGCCCAGCATACCTGGCTCACCTGGTGGGAAACCAGTTCAACCCAGAGAAAGAAGGGAACATGCCATGGGAGAGGGAGATGCTGGGGGGAAGACAAAGGCCTTGGGGGCTTGGC